ATTTTGGAGTTTTTTAATAGAAGGGGGGGGGGGGGGGGGGCGACAACAGCGCTCCCCTTAAGACGCCGTCATCCATGCTGCAGATGGCGCATGGAAGCGTCGTTGCAAAGGAGCGTCGTGTAATCGAGGAATTTGGCACCAGCGCGTGACGCAGGCAGACAACATGTTGCCGTGGTTGCGCAATCGGCGCAAGAAGGGGGTGTTTACCCCAGGTAGGTAGCGTGAGACACCACGAACCTCGAACTTCAAAGCTCGACCGTATAACAGGCGGAGAGATGGCATCTGATCTTCAAGGCACGATTGTTCCACAAACAAGATTGTGCCAACACCAAAAAATGGTGGGTTGGAAACATCTCGCAGAGGGCTTTCCTTAGACGCGTGGTGCTCTTTCCGTACCACCCTTGTGTGTGGAGCATTTGAGCTTTGAAAGTTGGTCTAGGGGGGGTTGCCATTTCTCCGCCTCGTACGTTGCTCCCCCGACGAAGAGGATGCCAAAATCAAGCAAAACGTTTTTTGGATGATACTCCGTATTCGATTGCCTTGCTTTTTTGTTGTCGGTTTTGGTTACTATACCGAGCAGCTATTGTATAGAAACTGCAATAACAATCGCAATCGGAGTGCGTTCAAAACATACGTTTTCGGAAATCTGTCGACGCGACCTTCCAACGCCGCCATTTTCGACAGCGCCACTGTGTTTGCTGCAGAATACTCACGACGTGAAAATCGGTCCAGAGGGTGTGGTATCTTACGTCATGTCAACTGCGGTACGTCCACGCCACGACGATGCACGACTCGCAGCTCCTCCTGCGCTAGGCGTGTGCACACCTCAGTGGTGTGACACGTTCACCATGGACTACACGACAGGTGAACGTGGGGGACAAGGCCGCGCACATCTACAGGGCCGGCTGGTGTTACGATCGGAGTAGAGTGGTGGTCCCATCTACCGCAGAGTAGTTAGTGGCAGGCAAATATCACTGTGGTATATCGGGACACCGCACTATTGAGTGATGGGCAATGAATAGATTTTAGTATTGTAGCCAAAATCCCGGGAAAAGCGATTTCTACCGCTGTATATCGGGACCACCACTGAAGCATCAAACACAGCTTTTTTATGTTTGAAGAGAACACTCAAGAATCGCGGAGGGGACAAATTGCAGAGAAATCTACGCGAGGGGTTTAGGGGTGCACTGAAAATGCCGAAAACGGTGGCATATCACAGGTGGATTCATTCACGTCGTCTGTCTAAAAACCCGCAAGAAAAAAAACAAAAACATACCTCTGCAGGAATGTCCGGCTTGTGGTCCTCGGTTAGTGCCTGGGCAACGAGCGACCCCCCCCCGTCGTTCGCGGAGCCCCCCTCGCCGCGCAAGCGCCGCCTACCGAGGGTCGCGCGGGAGTCGCCAACGTTGGTGAGTATGAGCTTTGTGCCGCGCACGCAGACCGACACCAGGGTTGTGCCGCTCATTGATGTGTCGATCGAGGAGTCCGCTGTGGGCGGAGAGAAGGCAAGGGCACGGCGGGGGGGGGGGGGGGGGGGGGGGAGCCAAAAAGAGCAGGTGGA